TGTCATCCAGGCTGCAGTGCAGTGAGCGGTGCAATCTTGGCTCACTGCAAGCTCCCAGACTCAAGCAATTCTCCTGCCTTAGCAGGCGCCCGCCACGACACCTGGTTAATTTTCATACTTTTTAGTAGAGATGGGGTTTTGCCATGTTGGCCAGGCTGGTCTGAAACTCCTGACCTCAAGTGATCCGCCCACCTCGGCTTCCCAAAGTGCTGCGATTACAGGCGTGAGACACAGCGCCTGGCCACAGTGAAATTAATAACACCCCCTTCACTCTCTCGAAAAACTGGGATTAGAATGTAATTTATATAAGAAGTTCATTAACTTTTTCATAAATGGCCAGAATATGCATATTTTAGGCTCATGGGCCAGTTTGTCACAACTGCTCAAAACATGAAATACAGAAATGCATGGATTTGGCTGTGTTCCAATAAAACTTTATTGATAAGAGTAGGCAGTAGGCAGGATTTGTTCTCTGGGCCATGGTGTGCCTTCCCCTAGATTATTAACCAGGGGACATGAAAAGAACAAGACCCCTGCAGGGTCACATACAAGCCAGCGAGTAGCAGGACGGTTTGCTGAGTGCGAGAGATTTCCTGTGGCGGTTTCTGCCCCTGGCCTCTCCGATGCAGAGGCTGGCCAGGTCAGCGGTCTCCTGTAACTGGACTCTTGTGCCCTGCAGCTGCCAAAACGGACTGCATCATAATACATGGTGTCACCTTCACCTGGTTCCAGGAAAGCCCTCCCTGCCTACACAGGTATAGAATGACACCTGTAGAAAACAGCCTCGTTTTTAGGGAGAAGCTGCGTGGAGTTCCTGCCACCTTCCACCCGAGAGATGGTGCAGGTTTCCAGCCTGGGACAGGAGGGTGGGTTAGGTTGGCCCAGGGCTTTGCTAGGAGGTTTCCCAGGATGCTCCTGTACCTTCTGCAGGTGGGGACCCATACAGCATGGGGACCAGGGCATCTGAGTCTCCCCCATCAGGGGGAAACACCCTCTGCTCCCAGGCTAGCCAAGACACTACCAAGGTGGGGCTGGCTGAGGAGCCCCACGGTTCAGCCTCGTCAGCTTTGCTCACTTCTGTGCCACCGATATCGGTCCCACATCATTATCACCTCAGGTCCCAACTCTATGGCTTGGTCTTTGTGGCCAAAAATCCCAGCCAGCCCTGCAACTCCCTAAGAAGGGAGAGAATGTGTCCTGGGCAGTATTTGTATTGGTTGTCATTCACTCACTTCATTGGTGGAGCACTAGCTATGGGCCGTGCTCTGTTCTAGGTTCTGGGGATTGGGTGAAAGAAACAGACAAGGGCCCAGCTCTCTTGGGGTGATGTGCTGACAGAGGTGAGGCCCACACAGAAATCCAGGGCAGGGGACAGAGCACGACAGCATGCCTAGTGAGGGAAGGCTTGGCGTTCAAGCCAGTCTCTACCCACTAGATGCCAGCAGCACCCCCTGCCAGTTGTGACATCCAAAAATATCTCTAGATCTTACCAAATGACTCTTGGGGGAATGCAGTCACCCCCAGTTGAGAACCACTGACTTACTGTGTTCAGGAAACAGCAAGGTCAGCGGGGCCAAGAAAGAGCAGCTGAGGCACAGAGTGGAAGGAGCCGGGACGTCGTTCGTGATCATAAGTACTTCAGCTTTCACCCTGAGTGACATGGGAGTGCTGACGGGTTTAGCTGGGAAGTGCTAAGAGCTAACCTGGGCTTTTTGTTTGTTGTTTGAGATGGAATCTCACTCTGTTGCCAGGCTAGAGTGAAGTGATACAATCTCAGCTCACTGCAACCTCTACCTCCCGGTTCAAGCAATTCTCCTGCCTCAGCCTCCCAAGTAGCTGGGACTACAGGCATGTACCACCACACTCAGCTAATTTGTATTTTTAGTAGAGACAAAGTTTCTCCATACTAGTCAGGCTGGTCTCATACTCCCAACCTCAGGTGATCTGCCGACCACAGCCTCCCAAAGTACTGGGATTACAGGCGTAAGCCACTGCTGACTTGGTTTTAACAAATCCCTCTGGTCATGGGGTGGAGGATGGGCTGTGGGACATGGACAGGAGTGGGGCGGGACCAAGAGCAGGGGCAGGGAGGGGAGGAAAGAGCCTACTTATTGCAAGAGCCAAGGCAGGAGGCCAGGCTGGTGAAACCCTCAGGCTCCTACCAACTCTGTATGTGCACGTGGGTGGGCGTGCATGCATGTGTGTGCATGGTGCGTGTGCACACATGTATGCGTGTGAGCATGGATTGCTTGGATATGTGCATGCACTTATACAAGTGGGGATGTCCCCACATTGTGTTCCTGTGCATACTAGCATACTTGTATAAGTGTGAAAATGTGCACGCATTTGTGAATGCTGTGTGTCCGCGCATGAGTGTGCACATGCACAAATGTGCACAGGATGGTTGCTCAAATAGCCAGACAACGACTGGGAAAAGAACAGCCCCACAGGTACTCTTAGACTCCCAGACAGGAAAGCGAGGCTCTTTCGGGGGTTCACCCTTCCTCAAAGATGGGGACTGGGCCCTAACCAAGGTCATGTCTCCTTTCTTGAATTGAAAGAATAAACCTCACCATGCCCCAGGGCTGTTTCCTGGCTGTAGTCGGTTCAGTGGGGACAGGGAAGTCCTCCCTGCTGTCCGTCCTCTTTGGGGAGCTGTCAAAGGTGGAGGAGTTTGTGAGCATCAAGGCGAGGCCACCCTCTGCCTGTCTGCGAGGACGTCCCATCATCCTGAAAGTCCCCCTTCCTCACTGCCCTTCCACCCCTCCTCATCCCAGCCAAGCTCACTTTCATTCTCTCTACCCACCACCCACCCACCACTGAGCCCAGCTCCCACTGCTCCTAAAAACCTGTCATACCACTGTCCCCATCATCCTTCTGTGACCAAAGTAAGTTGTGTTTTAGTGTTCGGTGGCCTGCATGCTCCAGGAGGCCTCGATGCAGAACACCTCCGTGGTGAAGAACGTGTGCTTCGGGCAGGAGCTGGACCCAGCCAGGCTGGAGAGAGTCCTAGAGGCCTGTGCCCTATGGCCAGATGTGGACAGCTTCCCTGCTGGAGTCGACACTTCAACTGGGAAGCAGGTGAGAGTCTCAGGGTCTTTTGGGTCAGGGAGGCATTGCAGTGGGGGTCATTTGGGTCCCTGACTCATGATGAGCAGTATGATGGAGAAATGCAGGCAGTGGTCAGGGAAGTAGAGAAGGGCTCAGCTCAGGGTCAAGCACATACTAGGTGCTCAATAATAATCATTAATCACTAAATAGAAATGGACACAAAGAGGTAAGCAGCTGTGGTAGGGATTGGCGATGAGAGGCTCTCTGACAACTGAGTGAGATGACTAGGCCCGTCTTCCTCTGCCCTGCCTTGCTAGGTGACGTTGATCTAATTGCTTCCCCTCTCTGGGCCTCACCAAAGGGTCTGGACAGAGATGTCCAAGACATAGGATATATGCATCTGGAGCTATGGATTGGGCAGGAGCTGGCAAACTGTGACCCCCAGGCCAAATCCAGCCCTCCACTTGTGTGTGCGTGTGTTTTGAAACGGAGTCTCACTCTGTTGCATGGGCTGGAGTGGTGCAATCTTGGCTCACTGCAAGCTCCCCCTCCAACATTCAAGAAATTCTCCCACCTCAGCCTCCTGAGTAGCTGGGATTATAGGCGCATGCTACCACACCTGGCTGATTTTTGTATTTTTAGTAGAGTCAGTGTTTCACCATGTTGGGCACGCTAGTCTCGAACTCCTGACCTCTGGTCGTCTCCCCATTTTCCTCAGAGTCAAAGCCCAAGTCGTGTTGATTCCTGGCAAGGTCCCTGTCACCTTGCTCTGGTATCCATCATTCCCATCTCCCATCGTTTTCTCCTGACTTCACTCCAGCCTCCAGAGTGTCTGTGATGTTCCCTGATTCCCCGCAGCACACTCTGGCCCCAGGGCCTTTGCACCTGCTGTTCCCACTGATAGAAATCTCTCCCTAGGAGTTCCCAGGGCTCATCTGTCACTTCAGTCACATTCAGAGAAGCCTTCCCTGATTACCTTATCCACCGCCACCACTGCAACCCTGCTCATGCAAGTGCGCCTTACACCCACACCTACTTTTCCTTTCTCCTTTCCTTTTTTTTCTTGAGATAGTCTTGTTGTTTCCCCTGGCTGGAGTACAGTTGCGCAATCTTGGCTCACTGCAACCTCCACCTCCCAAGTTCAAGCAATCCTCCCACCTCAGCCTCCTGAGAAGCTAGAATTACAGGCAGGTGCCACCACACCTGGCTGATATTTTTTGTACTTTTAGTAAAAATGGGGTTTCACCATGTTGGCCAGGCTGGTCTCAAACTCCTAACCTCAGGTGATCCACTCACCTGGGCCTCCCAAACTGCTGCGATTACAGGCTTGAGCCACTGCACCTGGCTGTACCTGCTTTAGTATTTATTCTTCATAGTGCTTTCCACCTGATGTGCTGTTGGTGTTATTGGTTTGTTTATGGCCCACCTGTTTCTATCCTCATTAGAATGACGGATCCATTCAGAGAGCAGAAACTTTGTTTTGTTCATTGCTGTTTCCCCAAAGCCTAGAACCCTGCCAGGGACATGATAACCAGGCAGTAATTAGTGGAATAAATGGATGTAAGAATAAATGAAAGGTCAGGTATGGTAGCTCATGCCTGCAATCCCAGCACTTTGGGAGGCCAAGGTGGGTGGATTGCTTGAAGTCAGGAGTTCGAGACCAGCCTGGTCAACATGGTGAAACTCCATCTCTACTAAAAATACAAAAACTAGCCAGGCAAATGGCACACCTATAATCCAGGCTACATGGGAGGCTGAGTCAGCAGGAGAATCGATTGAACCCAGGAGGTGGAGGTTGGAGTGAGTCGAGATCATGCCACTGCACTCCAGCATGGATGAAAGAGCAAGACACTGTCTCAAAAACAAAAATAATTTTAAAGAATGCATGAAAGACAAGAAGGCCTAGATAGAAGGAATAAATGGTAGTAATCAACAGGACACAAGAGAAATCATAGTGAATGAGAATTTATTTGTAAATTTCAAGATAGCTAGAAGACAAGGATTGTCATGTACTCAATACAAAAGTTAAATATTTGAGGTAATGACTATCTCAGTTACCCTGATATGATTGTTACATACTGTCTACATCAGGGGTCCCCACACCCCCTGGCCACGAATTAGTACCAGTCTGAGGCCTGTTAAGAACTGTACAGGCAGCACAGCAGGTGAGCAGCGGGCAGGTATATGAGGCTTCATCTGTGTTTACAGCCACTCCTTATTGTTCGCATCACCACTTAAGCTCCACCTCTAGATCAGCGGCAGTGTTAATTCTCATAGGAGCGCAAACCCTACTGTAAACAGCACATGCAAGGAATCTAGGTCGCATGCTGCTGCTGCTTTTCTTTTTTTGAGATGCAGTCTCACTCTGTTGCCAGACTGGAGTACAGTGGTACGTTTTTGGCTCACTGCAACCTCCACTTTTCGGGTTCATGTGATTCTCCTGACTCAGCCTCCTGAGTAGCTGGGATTACAGACACACATCACCATGCACAGCTAATTTTTGTATTTTTTTAGTAGAGACAGGGTTTCACCATGTTGGCCAGGCTGGTCTCAAACTCCTGACCTCGTGATCCACCTGCTTCGGCCTCCCAAAGTGCTGGGATTACAAGCATGAGCCACCACGCCCTGCAGCTGCATGCTTATGAAAATCTAATGCCTGATGATCTATCACAGTCTCCCATGGCCCCCAGAGGGACCGTCTAGTTTCAGCAAAACTAGCTCAGGCTCTCACTGACTCTATTTTATGGTGAATTGTGTAAGTATTTCATTATATTTTACAATGTAAAAATAATAGAAGCAGGCCAGGCACAATGGCTCATGCCTATCATCCCAGCACTTTGGGAGGGTAAGGCAGGCAGATAACCTGAGGTCAGGAGTTCGAGACCTGCCTGGCCAACATGGTGAAACCCGATCTCTACCCAAAATACAAAAAATCAGCCAGGTGCAGTGGCAGGCACCTGTAATCCCAGCTACTCGGGAGGCTGAGGCAGGAGAATTGTTTGAACCCAGCAGGCAGTGGTTGCAGTGAGCCAAGATCATGTCATTCCACTCCAGCCTGGGTGACAAGAGCAAAACTCCTTCTCAGTAAGTAATAATAATAATAGAAGTAAAGTGCTCAATAAATATAATGTGCTTGAATCACCCTGAAACCATAGGTCCATGGAAAAGTTGTCTTCTACAAAACTGATCCCTGGTGCCAAAAAGGTTGGTGACCACTGTGCTACAGCTCTCAAAATATCACCTGTGCTCCTCAAATAGGTACAACTATTACATATCAATAAAAACTAAGGTAAGTCAATTAAAATTTAAAATTAAAGGACTGAAAAGTTACCAGTGGATCATAGAATAGGGAAATGAATGGTGTCCTCATTAAAGGTGGTCTCAGTGGAGAAAGGGAACAGAAGTTGGACTCATGGATACAGAGAGTAAGTAGGAGACAGAGTTGCTTAGGAAGTGCAGGTAATTCCTCCAGGAAGCGTGCTGGGAAGGGGAGAAGTGAGGTTGGTAAGGATGTAGGGGATGCCGGCTTGGAAGTGAGTGCCTTTGAAGCTGAGCATGTCCCCAGGGGACAGGCACGGGGAGACACACCTCACCCTGATGGGAAGATATGCCCCAACCTGCTCCTACTTGGGCTCCCCAGTTTTACCCTGTAGATGCAAACTCAGAACACTGTTCCTTTTGTGGCCACAGGGCATGAATCTCTCAGGGACCAGAAGTAGCAGCTGAGCTTCGTCCGGGCTATGTACAGAAAGGCAGCTGTGTACCTGCTAGATGACCCCTGGTGGCTCTGGATGCCCATGTCGGCCAGCATGTCTTCAACCAGGTAATCGGGCCTGGTGGGCTACTCCAGGGAATAGTAAGTTGGCTACTCCAGGGAACAGTAAGTTTGAGAATGTGTCAGAGGGCACAGGGCAAAGGCGGAGGATGCCCATAGCATCCAGTCCTAACCCAAGTTTCTCTCACTGTCCCCTTCCACTTGAGTCCAGTTTTCCTCTTTGCGTTTGTCAGCTTTTGCTGTAATGGTGCTGCGTAACAAACAACCCCTCAGATTCCATCAGCTTATAACGTCAGCTGTTTCTTGCTTATGCATCTGTGGTTTAACTACTACAGCTCTGACTTGGATGATTAGCCCAGGTCAGATGGACTCCTTGTCTTCTTGAAACAGGCTGAAGGAGTCCCCTCTGTTTCTCGATTTGGAAATGCTATTTTCAAGAAAGATGGCAGGAGCACAAGAAGGGGAGCTCTCCCCATTCTTGAGTCCACAGACAATACTCCCACCCCAACCCCCTGCTCCAGGAGTGTTTAACTTTTCTTACTTTCTTTCCCCCTTCCCTTCCTTCCTCTTTCCCTTCCCTTCCCTCCCTCCTCTCTCCCCACCTTTCTCTCTCCCTCTCCTCCCTCCTTTCTTCTTTTTGATGAAGTCTTGCTCACCTAGGATGAAATGCAATGATGCAATTTCAGCTCACTGCAACCTCCACCTCTCCGTTTCAAGTGATTCTTGTGCCTCAGTTTCCCAAGTAGTTGTGACTACAGGTGTGTGCCACCATACCTAGCTCATTTTAGTATTTTTAGTAAAGACAGGGCTTAGCCATGTGGACCCAGCTGGTCTTGAACTACTGGCCTCAAGTGACCCACCTGCCTTGGCCTCCCAAAGTGCTGGGATTACAGACGTGAGCCAGCACCCTCAGAGGCTTGTCAAGTTACTGTTGCCATTTTACAGATGAGCAAAGAGAGTTAAATCAGTTGCCCAAGGTCACCAGGTTATAACTTGAGTGTGTCCAACTCCAGAGTCCATGCTTGCAGTTGCTAAGGAGACAGCATAAGAAGGTTTTGGTGCCTAGAAAGGTACAACATGCCTGCTAGAGTTTCTAATAATCCAAAGAACACAAAGTGCACTTGATACATGACAAAGTTACGGAACTAAAGTTGCCAAGCCAAGCTCACACACAATGACTGAAAAGTGGCAACTCATAGCACATCACATATATTAGCTCACTGAATCAACTTAATGTCCCTGTGAGGCTGGTACTTGAATCATTTCCATTTCACAGATGAGGATACCGAGGCCCAAAAGTTAAGGAACTAGTCCTAGGTTACATGGCTTGTAAGTGGCAGCACTGGGATTTGCACCCAAGCAACTTGATTCCAAAGAATGTTTTTTAATCACTAGGCTTTTTACTACCCCTGCATGACAAAGCAAAGACTCACACCCAGCTCTCCCTCAATCTCAGACATTGTCTCTTCTGAGAACAGCTGCTTAGCATTGGCCCACCCTGGCTAAAAACCCTAGGTGTTGATTCACAAAGTTCCAGTCCTGAAGCTTGAAGCCAGAACTTGCCTGTTTGTATTGATCAGTTTTTGCCGCAGTGATGCTGTGTAACAAATAGCCCCCCAACTCTCAGCAGCTTACACTAGCAGCTATTTCTTGCTTACAGGTCTGTGGTTAAACTTCTACAGCTCTGCCTTCAGTTACTGGCCACATCTGGGGGATAGTGGTAGGGAGGTGTCCTTCCTGGGAGAGATGGTACCTGAGGGTAGGTGGGAGTTAGCCAGAAAAGAGCATTCCAGACACAAGGAACTACTTGAGCAAGGCTGTCGGGAGAAACAGAGATAACTTTATACAGTGTTCACTGCTGTTTTTCCAACCTCAAGTTCACAGCAGGTGCTCAAGTATATTCCCTGATTGAAAAAATGAGTGAATGCCTGCATGATGTTCCTGGGAGAAGTCAGAGTGGGGTGTTGAGGTTGCTGGACAGGAGGCAGGAGCCAGAACAGGGAAAGCGGATGTTCAGAGCAGTTAAGGCCACATGGTCAGTGGGTGTCAAAGTCAGTATCTGGACCATGTTGTGTGACAGGACTCTCTTGACCTTGCAGAAACAGAACCTGGGACCAGCACCAAGGACGGTAGAGACTCCTCTGCAGGCAGGAGATCCGAGCTTAGACCTGAGAGGTGAGTCCACCATGGTGCCATGCTCAGAAGGGCACAGGCTGAAGCTGATGTAGCTGAAGGGACCACCTGCATCTCAGGCAGTTAGAGGGCAACCAACACAATTACAGATGGAGCACCTGCTAAAGTCCCCCTCATGGTGCCCTGCTAAGGGATAATTCACCAAAATCGGTCCAGTTGGCCAAGATGATTAGGTCCCCATAGGGCCAGTTCATGGGATGAGCAAATGCCTTCCAACATGATGGATGTCTTCAAGGGGGCCGAGCCAGCTTGCTGGAGTTGTCTCAATGCTGCAGTAGGATAAGGCTGGTTCCAAAGAAAGATCCTCCCCATAGTTGTTAACCACCATGCCAGGCCCAGTCATTTATGCTTTGACAGGTGGGTTATGTGCATGCCGTGGGTCTGTACACACGGCATCACTTACTATTGGCCAGAACACATGGACAAGAGGCCAGGAGGAGGCCTGCTGTCCCCTGTTCTCTCAGCTCCCTCCAGCCGGGACAAAGCTGAGCTCACTGTCTGGAGCAGAGGGACCTGCTACCTGCTACTCTCCCCTCTTAATGAGCAGGGTCTTAGGAAGCAGAACCACAGGCCACTGGTAGCAGGTGGTTTGAGCTTAAGTGCCTTCTATATAGTGGTGTGGGGTGGCAAGGATCCCGAGGGGCCTCAGTCCCTGGGGATCACTGGGGTTGATCCCCATCGAAGTTAGCCACCTAGAGGACACTTCTCAGTCACACAATGACCAATCCCACCGTCTTCACAGCACACAAGAATCCGAAGATCAGATCAGATGGATGGGTAGTCATGTTCAGAGAAAACTTTTAGATGCAGTAAGGCTGGGTGTGGCGGCTCATGCCTGTAATCCCAGCACTGTGGGAAACCGAGGCAGGTGGATCACCTGAGGTCAGGAGTCCAAGATCAGCCTGGCCAACATGGCCAAAGACTGCCTCTACTAAAAATACAGAAATTGTCCAGGCCTGATGGTGCATGCATGTAGTCCCAGCCACTTGAAAGGCTGAGGCATGAGAATTGCTTGAACCTGTGAGGCTCAGGTTGCAGTGAGTAGAGATTATGCCACTGCACTCTGGCCTGGGCGACAGAGCAATACTTCATCTTAAAAAAACAAAACACCTCTGTCAAATTTAATGTGTCTAAAGTTTTGTTTCGTTGTGTTTTGTTAATGAGACAGAATTTCTCTGTCCCTTAGGCTGGAGTGCAGTGGCATGGTATCAACTCACTGCAACCTCCACCTTCCAGGTTCAAGAGATTCTCATGCTTCAGCCTTTCAAGTAGCTGGGAATACAGGTGTGCACAACCAGGCCCGGCTAATTTTTGCATTTTTAGCAGAGACAGGGTTTTGCCATGTTGGCCAGGCTGGTCTCGAACTCCTGACCTCAGGGGATCCGGCTGCCTCGGCTTCCCAAAGGGCTGGGATTACAGGGATGAGTCACGGCACCTGGCTGACAAAGTTTAACTGAGTAAAGAATGATCCAAACATCATGCAGCCGCTTAACCAGATAAGTTCAGAGAGGCTCTGGTATAGTCACGTGGTCAAAGATGAATGGACAGAAAACGAGTGAGTTACAGAAACGGCCATATTGGTTGCAGCTCAGCGTTTGCTTTAAACAGTTGGCTGCCTTCGATTGGCTGAAATTCAGCAATTGACAAGAGTAGGTTGCAATCTGTTTGTGTAGAAGTCCAGTTAGTTTACAGTTCACTATGTATGGAAAACCTTTAGGCCAAACTTAAAATATGTAAGGAGGCAGCTTTAGGCTAAACTTAATAGTAGGTAGGTAGACAAGTATATACAGATACACAGATATGTAGATGAATGGATGAATGGATAGATATTACCCTTATTTTTACAGCTGAGGAACCTGAGGTACAGAGGTTGTCAGCTCACTCATCCACAGACAAGACATTCAAAAAGTCTTCAGCATCTGAATTGTGCATAATTTATATTCTGTCAGTTTGACTGACAAATCTGATGGTAAACAGTAGGGGCAAAACAATTGCACCAAAGCTTAAGCCAAAATGAAAATTCTGAGAACAAGATGGGTGCAGCGGCTTATACCTGTAACCCCAGCACTTCAAGAGGCTGAGGTGGGTGGACTACTTGAGCTCAGGTTTGAGACAAACCTGGGCAACATAGCAGGAACCCGTCTCAAAAAAGGAAAAAAAAATAAGAAAATTCTGAAAACAGAGTTCCAGTGGTGGGCAAATTAAGTTCACCCTGTGAAATGGCATCAGAAGATTGGGCTTGCTTGACTCTGCGATAATAGATGGCATTTAGCTTGGTACCACACAGGGAGAAAGGAACTATGATATCAGGTCAGTATTCTGTTAGTTGAATGAATGAATGGGGAGTATACCCTGAGCTGGGCCTGAGTGTTGGACACATACACCCCACTACTGGGAGAGATACTGACCTCATCTTTATTTCCTCTAAACAACAGGTCCATCCAGTCAGTCCTTGAGAAGGACCACACCACTTCATTAGCCCAGACAGGGGTTCCTCTAGATGACCATGACAGGACAGCATGGCCAACAGGAAAGGACAGCGTGCAATACGGCAGGGTAAGCACCAGCTTCGCCCACCCTCCCCACCCACTGCTGCCACCCCAGGGGCCCAAGTCCTCCCACCAGATGTAGCAGTTGGCAGTGGGGCAGCGGTGATACTCACCTTTCTTGAACACCTACTATGTGCCAGAATTCTAGACCTTCATTTTCTTAATCTTCACAACCACTCTAAAAACTAGATATGATAGCTCTATTTTAGACATACATAAAAAGTCTTTTAAAATTTTATTTTTGAGAGTGGCTCACTCACTTACCCAGGCTGGACGGCAGTGATGTAATCAGAGCTCATTTGCAGCCAAGTTAAAAGACTTGTCTATGTCCTCACAGCTGGGACTCAAATTTAGACCAGTCTAAGTTTGAAGCTTGTACTGTTTCTCCTCTTCTATACTGCTACGTACCTCCACCCACCTACTTATCCATCCCATCATCCATGTACCCACTGATCCATCCATCCTTCCCACCCACTCACATATTTATCCACCCATCCCATCCATTTACCTACCTACTCATCTACCCATCCATTCACCCACTGATTTGTCTATCATCCCATCCATTCACCCACCTACTCCTTTATTCAATCCATCCATCTAACCCAGCTAACAATAGCTGACAATACATACCAACCATTCCCTCACCTATGCATGTTTAGCTGTTCATCCATTCATCGATCTTTCCATCCATTCATTCACTCATTCATCCACATACCTACCTATCTACCCACCCACTCATTTATTCACCCACCCACCCCCTCATTCATCCAGCAAACACATACACAATGCCCACTATGTGCCAGGCTAAGTCTGGTAGAGACTGGATACTAGTGAGGATAGATAGAGAGAAAATAATTAGGCTAATAAGCAAGCTGTATCTGATAACAGTAAGTGCTATAAAGAAAGTAAGAATAATACCAGCACTTCGGGAGGCCAAGGCGGGTGGATCATGAAGTCAACATTTTGAGACCAGCCTGGCCAACACAGTGAAACCCCATCTCTATTAAAAATACATAAAAAAATTTGCTGGGCATGTTGGTGGGTGCCTGTAATCCTAGCTACTGGAGAGGCTGAGGCAGGAGAATCATACCTCAGGAGATGAAGGTTGCAGTGAGCCAAGATTGTGCCATTGCACTCCAGCCTGCATGACAGTGCAAGACTCCATCTCAAAAAATAAATAAGAAGAATAATCAGGCGCAGTGGCTCACACCTGTAATCCCAACACTTTAGGAGGCAGAGGTGGGAGGATTGCTAGAGGCCAGGAGTTTAAGGGTGCAGTGAACTATTCTCATGCCACTGCAATCCAGCCTGGATGACAGAGTGAGACCCTGCCTCTTAAAGAATGATGAAATGGAGACCAACTAGGGTCACGGTTGGTATGGACAGGATGCTCTGAGAAGTGACATGTGAGCTTCCCCAAGAATGTGTGAAGGAACTAATCATACAAAGAGAAAGAGTACTCCAGGCAGAGGAAGCAGCAGGCACAATGGCTCCAAAGTGGTAAGTGGTTTAGGATGCCAGAGAAAGGGGTCCCATGAGGCTGACAGGCAGTGAGTGGGGGCAAGATAAGCATCTTGGAATTTCAGTTTTTTTGTTCTGAGATGGAGTTTTACTCGTCACCCAGGGTAGAGTGCAATGGCGCGATCTCGGCTTACTGCAGCCTCCGTCTCCTGGATTCAAGCGATTCTCCTGCCTCAGCCTCCCAAGTAACTAGGATTACAGGCACCTGCCACCATGCCTGGCTGAATTTGTATTTTTCATAGAGATGGAGTTTCACCATGTTGGTCCAGGGTGGCCTCAAACTCCTGACCTTAGGTGACCCGCCCGCCTTGGCCTCCCAAAGTGCTGGGATTACAGGTGTGAATCACCTGCCTGGCTGGAATTTCTTCTAAGAGCAAGAGATAGCTGTAGACAGACGAGTGACAAGATATGATTAGATTGATGTTTTCAACAGTCCTGTCTGGCTGCAACTGTGCATGGAACTTCAGATTTGTAGGAGCAGGACCCTAAACCAGTGGCTGAACCTCTCTGTGCCTCAGCTTCCTTATCTGTGAAATGGAGGTTATCATGAGTATGTCTGACCCATGGTGGGTGTTCAAGAAAACCCTTTCTGGATGGGTGTGGTGGCTCACATCTGTAATCCAAACACTTTGGGAGGCTGAGGAGGGAGGACTGCTTGAGGCCAGGAGTTTGAGATCAGCCTGGGCAACATAGCGAGACTCCATCTCTTTAAAAATACTAAAATTAACAAGGTATGGTGGTAAAATTATCAGCTGTTTGGGAGGCTGAGGTGGGGAGATTATTTGAGCCTAGGAGGTCAAGGCTGCAGTGAGCCATGACTGTGCCACTGTACTCTAGCCTGGGTGACATGGGCAATGAAGCAAAACCCTGTCATTCATTTATTCATAAATAAATAAAGCTGGGCGTGGTGGCTCATACCTGCAATCCCAGCACTTTGGGAGGTTGAGGGGGGCAGATCTTGTGGTCAGGAGATCAAGACCACCCTGGCTAACAGTGAAACCCTGTTTCTACTAAAAATACAAATAAGTAGACAGGCGTGATCATATGTGTCTGCAGTCCCAGCTACTTGGGAGGCTGAGGCAGGAGAATCACTTGAACCTGGGAGGTGGAGGCTGCAGTGAGTAGAGATCATACCACCGCAGTCCAGCCTGGGTAACAGAGTGAGACTCAGTCTCAAACACAAAATAAGAAAAAAAAATTATGAACGCTAACTCATTGGGGATTGTGTAGGAGATGGAGGTTCTCAGGCTAGCCGGGGCCTATTGGGGAGATGGAGCTCCTGGTGGGAGGAACGGAGGAAGAACCCATGGGGTCTTCGGGGTGGTTCCCTCTGTCCATTGGCATGTTTTCTAAGAGCTTTGCCTGGCCTTGCTTCCACTCACTCCTCCCTCCAGGGGCTCTCTCTGGACAGAATCTTCAAACATTCCAACTAAGGTGGCGCCTAGGAGACCTTATCTGGTGTTCCTCAGTCTACCCCCCACCTACCTGAGGTTCTCTCCGCCTTCTGCACACTCGTGGTCCTGCTCATCAGCAAGGGCTGAGCCAGCTCCAGGGACGTCCAGACTTCATCTGAGTACTGGCTGAACGGGTCCAGGTTCATGCAGAAGGAACCTGAAAACAAAACAGGATCGTGTTCAGAGAGAAGACAGTGGTGGCATGTGATGCCTATGGCACACTGACGTGGACGGAGATGAGGTGAGACATAAGAACTTCTGGCCAGGACTGGAGAAGGTGGGGTTTAGAGCTCCTTGAGATCACTATTTCTGGTGATGTTAATAATGGAGTAAAAGGCCAGGTACAGTGGCTCATCGCTGTAATCTGAGCACTTCGGGAGGCTGAGGTGGGCACTTCTCTTGAGGACAGGAGTTCAAGACCAGCCTGGCCAACATGGCAAAACCCAGTCTCTACTAAAAATAAAAAAATTAGCTGGGTGTGGTGACATACATCTCTAGTCCCAGCTACTCGGGAGGCTAAGGCAGTAGAATCACTTGAACCCAGGAGGCGGAGTTTGCAGTGAACCCATATCAGGTCACTGGACTCCAGTCTGGGTGACAGAGCGAGACTGTCCCCCGCCAAAAATAAATTCCTTAATAATGGAAGAAAAGTCAGTCTGGAAAATACGAGTGTGGCAAAATAAGACAAACTTCCTTTCCATACAACTTTCTAAAGCCTTCAATATACACGTAGGTTGAGAACCTTCCAGAAGTGAGAGGTAAATCCTAATGGTAAAATCCTGTGGATTTCTGTTCTCCCAACTCCAAAAGAGAATCTTCTAACAAACTTTAGAGAAGATTACACTAGAAGGCAACATATTAAGGACTCCACCTGCAGGGATTGATCTAGAAAATCCTGATTTTGGCCAGGCATGCTGGCTCACCCCTGTAATCCCAGCACTGTGGAAGGCTGAGGCAGGCGGATCACTTGAGGTCAGCAGTTTGAGAATCAGCCTATGTAACATGGTGAAACCACATCTCTACTGCAAATACAAAACTAGCCAGGCATGGTGGTACACACCTGTAATCCCAGCTACTTGGAAGGCTGAGGCAGGAAAATCACTTGAACCTAGGAAGCAGAGATTGCAGTGAGCCAAAACTGCACCACTTAATCCATCCTGGGGAGAGAGAGAGTGAGACTCTGTCTCAATTTTTTAAAAAAATCCTTTTTTCTTACCAAATACTGCATGTTCTCACTTTTAAGTGGGAACTGAACTCTGGGTACTCATAAATGTACAGATGGGAACAACAGAACCAGAGCCTCCAAAAGTAAGGAGGGTAATTTCTCGGGTACTCTGTTCAATATTTGGGTGATGAGATGCATAGAAGCCCAAGAGTCAACATTACACGATACCCATATAACAAACCTACACATGCACCCCGTGATCTAAAATTAAAAAGAAAACATTATTTCTTGTCTAGCTCTTAGAAGGGTTAGAGATTCTCAGTCTGACTCTGACAGCAGAGAGAGAAGACAGTGTCTTTTTAGATTTTTCTAGATGCTCAGAAAACTACCACTTGCAGGGACAGGAAGTCAGGAGTGATACTCAGTGATTTTCTACATTGTTAATCATATGCTAAAAGGAAATTCAGGGAAGCAGCAGCATAGCCTAATCAATAACAATAATGAAGGCCAGGCGCGGTGGCTCACACCTGTAATCCCAGCTCTATGGGAGGCCAAGGTGGGCGGATCCTTTGAGCCCAGGAGTTTTAGAGCATCCTGGGCAACATGGTGCAACCCCGTCTCCACCTGGGTGTGGTGGTATGTGCCTATAGTCCCAGCTACTCAGGAGGCTGGGGTGGGAGAATCCCTTGAGCCTGGGAGGTCAAGGTTGTAGTGAGCCAAGATTGCATGGAGACTGATTTCAAAAAAAAAAAAAAAAAAAAAAAAAAAAAAAAAACACCCTGTTTCAGGAAAAAAAAAAAAAAGAAGTAGGGCCACATGTGTGTTTGTCCCAAAACTAAAGATACATCACTGTTAGGGCATGCCACCCCTGGGTGGCACCCAGAACCCACCTGGGGGATGATGGTGACCTTGAAGCAGAGGCTGTGCAGGCCGATCTTGGTGATGTTGATGTCATAGATGATGATCGCTCCTTCGGCAGACTTGTTGATCTGAAAGAAGCCCAGGGTCAGCGATGACTTCCCAGCTCCCGTGTGCCTCACGATGCCAACCTATAGGATAGAAGGGACTGGGTGTGGTGGGAATGCTGGCATCTGGACTTGTCCCTGCCCCACAGTGCCCTTATCTCTGCCCTACCTCAGGCATCAGTCATCTGGTCAACCCAACTCCACACCCCCTCCCTCACCCACTGCCCAGAGACACTCCTTTAAAGGTGTTTTGGCCAAAGGTCAAAAAAGACACTCTTCCCTTTGCCAGACTTCCAAAAGGAATTCCTCAGCTTTTGATAGGTTACTAGAGACCTCAAAAGAGATACACAAGCAGCAGAAGGAATTTCCAACAAAGCTCTGTTTCAACTCAATATTAACTAATCATTAGGTATTTCCTCATTTCTCCACGCTGTTTTTCACACCTCTGATGGTGAGTTTCCCATCATGAGCTGTTGAAATACCTGAAAGATTCAAGCAGATGTTCCATGACCTTTGCCATGACCTGATCTCCACACATGCTTCCTTGAAGAAATTAGGTTCTCCAGCTAATAGCCAATAATGACATTCCTCATCTCCAGTTCTCCCTGGGGTCTTGAGAGATGGGCTTCCTCTACCCTCCTACAGTGGTGTCACAAAGCAGCATGTGTGCAAAAATTCTCATGACACAAGATAAGCCATAAAGACTTAGCAAGGGCCAGGCGTGATGGCTCATGCCTGTAATCCCAGAATTTTAGGAGGCCAAGGCGGGTGGATCCCCTGAGTCAGGAGTTCAAAACCAGCCTGGCCAACATGGTGAAAACCTGTCTCTACTAAAAATACAAAAATTAGCCAGGTGTGGTGGCATGTACCTATAGTCCCAGATACTAAGGAGACTGAGGCAGGAGAATCACTTGAACCCGGGGATTGAGGTTGCAGGGAGCTGAGATCATGCCACTGCACTCCGGCCTGGGCAACAGAATAAGACTCTGTTTAAAAAACCGCCCCCCGCCCCCTGCAAAAAAAAAAAAAGCTGCTTCCAGGGGCCAGGCATGGTGGCTGACTCCTGTAATCCCAGCACTTTAGGAGTTTGAGGCTGGCAGATCATTTGAACTCAAGAGTTCCAGACCAGCCTGGGCAACATAGTGAGATCTCATCTCTACAAAACATACAAAAATGAGCCAGGCATAGTGGCACATGCCTGTAAGTCCCAACCACTTGTAGTCCCCTGACTTGGGGAGCTGTGGTTGCAGTGGGCTGACATCATACCACTACACTGTAGCCTGGGTGACAGAGTGAGACCCTGTCTCAAAAAAAAAAAAAAAAAATCTTCCAAAACACATCTGTGGGGCTTAGTCTTCAGGCTATCAGTTCACCTAAAGCTTTCACTTCTACAAGTTGGGTGTGCTCTAACAACTTTTACTGCCACAATCCTCTCCCACCCCCAGCAACAGCCATTCAAGAGGAGGTGTGGAGCTGCGAGACAGGGCAGATGCCACAGCTAGGTTCATCCACCTGGTGGCACCCTGTGCTTAACTGGGAATGGAGGGATGATGTGTACCCACCTTTTATCCCCCATTGATGTTGACACTGATGTGCCTGGGAACAAAATCCAGGTCTTCTCGGCAACACAGGCAGTAGTTCCAGAATTCTACTTGGCCCACCTGGAGCAAGCTGCTGGGCGGAGCTGCTTCCTGGATTTGCCAAGGTACCTTCGATCACAGCTGAGGAAGAGAGTAAGGAATTCCCAGTCCATCCTAGAAAACTGTGACTCCCCCAACCTCCCCTCCCACTCACTCTGCTACCCAAAATGACCTCCCAGGCCTCAGCACTGGGGGTTGGCTCTCCTGGAATGCTCTTCCCTATATGACCCCCACATACTACAGATCTCTGATTGATGCGGGGGGCTCTCAGCTCCACATTTCGCTGTCCCCTCCCACACTGCCTTCTACAGAGAACTGCCTGCCTCCGGCCCTCTCCACGCTCATATACTTGAGTGTATTCTGTCTCCAATGCTTATTGCACCAACCACTCAGTGAGGACAGGCTCTAATTGTTCACTGCTGTATCCCAGGGCTCAGAGAACATAGTAGGTGCTCAATAAATATGGACATAACAAGAGTGACACAGTTGCTAACATAGAAGGTAAACCAGTGGTAGAAAGCACAGAAACAGGGAACATCATCTCTCAGTAGGTCAGCGATACCCGTTGTAAAGTTGTCATCTCTCTGTGATAGATAATGGCTGACTAGATCACAGTTGCTGACTTTTGTCTGCCAGAATTAATCTGATGTTCATGTTCACCTTTCTCTTAAAATTGTACAACTGACCTGTATCAAAATTGTTTTTATTTTTGTGAAACGGAGTCTCGCTCTGTTACCCAGGCTGGAGTGCAGTGGCATGATCTCAGCTCACTGCAACCTCCGCCTCCCAGGTTCAGGTGATTCTCCTACCTCAGCCTCCCGAGTAGCTGGGATTACAGGTGCCTGCCACCATGCCCAGCTAATTTTTGTATTTTTTGTAGAGACGGGGTTTCAGCATGTTGGCCAGGATGGTTTTGGACTCCTGACCTCATGATCCGCCCACCTTAGCCTCCCAAAGTGCTGGGATTACAGGCGTGAGCCATGGCACCCGGCCATAGATATTGTTCTTAATATGAACATAGTAGGTAAACTTTTTAAAATGTTTTCTAACAAAATATAAATGTTGCCCCCAGATATTTTTTAACCTCAAGGAAATGAATAACAGCTTGCCAGAGACTTCCTATAGAAGAAATAATTTTTTAGGTAACTATCATTAGGTTGGATAAGGCAATAGATCATTTCAAAATAGCAAGTAGTAGTACATCTTACCCATATCTTTAGGCTGATGCCAAGTTTTAAGGGTATAGACAACAGTGTGATGTTTTTATGCACAGACTGGCTCTGGGTATTCGAGGAACACAATACAGAGATTTAAAAAAGTGATTCTGTAAAATCTACATTATGTTCTCTGTTTCTCTAAAGTGTGTGTGATTTGTTCCTCATACTGCAGTGAGAAAAAAAGAACAGAACAATAACATAAATCTTGAAGTATGTTTCAATGTTAGGTGAATTTCTGTTTTTAGACACCAATTAAACTTCTTTGATAAAAAAATTTTAAAAATAAATATTTATGTATGGAGTCAATGAAATGAGTGGTCTTCTCTGGAAAGGCACAAGAATAAAAGTGAGTTACCTGGGCTGCCCACCCCGGCAGGAAAGCAAGAATAAAAGCAGGGGCAGTATCACAGTGCCTTGTCATCCTTACAGCAATCCCACATGGAGGGTCCTTCAGTTATCCCCAATTTACACACAAGGGGACTGAGACAGAGAGGGGAGGTAGCTTGCCGAGGGACACACAACTCTGCTTCTGAAAAGCAGTCCAGTTCAGCATTTCCTGAGGCCCACAGCCGGATGTGGCATAGGCCAGGTTCAGTGGTTTCAGCCTCAGAGAATGTACATCCCTCCAGGGCACACACAGGTGGGAACCAGGCTGGAGAGCACATGGCCAAGCTCAGGGGCACGGCAGAGCGCATGCAACAAGAAAACATCGGGCACCTTTTAGGCAAGATATTCAGCCCTTTTGTGGACATGCTATAAAATAACTTGCCGGGCATGGCGGCTCATGCCTGTAACCCCAGCAGTTTGGGAGACAGAGGTGGGGAGATCATTTGAGGTCAAGGTTTCAAGACCAGCCTGACCAATATGGTGAAACGCTGTCTCTACTAAAAACAAAAATTAGCCGGGCATGGTGGCAGGAGCCTGTAATCCCAGCTTCTCAGTAGGCTGAGGCAGGAGGATCACTAGAACCCAGGAGGCAGAGGTTGCAGTGAGCCAAGATCATGCCACTGCACTCCAGCCTGGGTGACAGAGTGAGAGTCTGTCTCAAAAGAAAAAGAAAGTATATTCTGCATATGAGTTTCTCTTGCACAACTTCAAAAGTCTTCTAAATGAACATGTGGGTAACACCTCCCATGGGCACCGAGGAAAGAGAACTGTCCAGACCCCAGGCACAAAGCAGTGCCTGAAGAATATCTTATAGTGTTATTGCTCAGCTGTTTCCTTTATATAATCCTTTATATATAAACATATAGTGGTTTACAGAATTAGTGCCTGAAGTATAACTTACTGCTTACATATATCTAGCTTATATTAATACTTACAGGTAGCATACTTAGTTCTATATAATGTTTCTGTATAATATAATGGATGTAGTCGGAGCTGTCCTGACACATTTAGTACTGATTTATGTAATTCTTCCATATAACCACATAGTAGTTTGTAGTAGGAGGAATGCCTAGAGCAGTCACAGAACAGGAGTAATACATAGGATAACAGCCAGACCAGAACAAGAACCAAAGACCCAGGTGGTGGCGTCCCTGCCTGAAAAGGCATACGCTGTATGGCAGGCTTGGAGCAAGAGCCTCTCCTCCTGATAAAGGAGTTATAGTACCTTGCATCCAGTTCCTGTGCAAAGTAGGCCTTAGGCATGAGATCCTGGAAATAACCGAGGGAGACGAATCCCTCTGGTGTGACCAGTCACGGTGGCTGTACACCCTGTCAGTCTCTTCTCACTTCTGTGCTAGCTCCAATCATCCTCCCATAAATATCTTAAGAGAAGAGCACAAGTTTGTCAGCTCCCACTGCATTAAACTTACAGTATCCTCCTATTAGAAATCCTTTGAAGTCTCCAGCCCCCAGATAATAAGTGTTATGCAAAACACCTGCCGCACATAGCCCACTTCCTTGCCTCGGTGTCCTAATGGGGTGGACCCCTTTTCTGTACATGACTCTCCACTGCACACAGCACAGCCCCCTACTGTGCATGGCCCACCTCTTTGCCCAAGTGACATAATGAGGTGGCCCCCTTGCTTGTGACTCACGTGATTATGTATGCCCTATTACTAAGACTATAGATGATGACCTCACTATGACCCTGCCCCCTAATTCTACCTAATAAATAGAGATGCTTCTGGGCATTGGGGAGCCCTTGCCGATCTCCACTCACAGGTGGCATGGCCTCCCCAGCCCAGATGTTCCTCACCAGTTCTTCAGTGTCCTGTCTCTACTTCTCAGATCCCACACCTCAGCACAGCATAAGAGACACCCCACGACCCTTTGGGGCCCCTACGGCCCTACATGAACACATCTTTATGCTATGCCATGAAGTCAGCAATAAAATACATTAAAACAATTAATATTTAAACATATAAACGACTATATACAAGAAACTTACTATACTTAAAGGCATTTATTATCCAACACTGAAAAAGTAACATTTCCAATCAATGGTAACAGCTATAACTGGGGACAGACGTTATTTCAGGAATGTACATGTAATCACCTTTCACCCTAACATTCATCTGACAAAGCAGGTTTCTTTGTTTTTTTGAGACAGGCTCTCTCTCTACCACCCAGGCTGGAGTGCAGTGGCACCATCATGGCTCACTCCACAGTGACCTCAGCCTCCCGGGCTCAAGTGATCCTCACACCTCGGCCTCCCAAGAAGCTGGAACTAAAGGCATGCGCCACCATGCCTGGTTAATTTTTGTATTTTTTGTAGAGACAGGGTTTTGCCCTGTTGCCCAGGCTGGTCTGAAACTCCTGAGCTCAAGAGATCTGCCAGGTGTCAGCCTCCCAAAGTGCTGTGATTACAGGTGTGAGCCAGGCCCTAAGTAGGTATAATAATCCCTATTTAACGTAAGAAATTGAGGCAGCATGAGGATAAGGCCACAAGTCTAAGAACTGGGAGAGATGGAAGCCCCCCCTTCCCCAGATCCCTTAGATTTGAGCTCAGTATACTAAACCAAGGAGGCAGGGAGGGCTAACTTAATGTTAGCTGGCAGGCTGGTTTAAGTTTGCAGCAGAATTTTCATTGATTTCTGGGAAAATGGGGAAAAGTAAGAACACAAAAGTGAACCTTTTTTTTTTTGAGACCGAGTTTCACTCTTGTAGCCAGCTGGAGTGCAATGGCACCATCTCTGCTTACTGCAACCTTTGCCTCCTGGGTTCAAGTGATTCTCCTGCCTCAGTCTTCGAAGTAGCTGGGATTACAGGTGCATGCCACCACACCCAGCTAATTTTATATTTTTAGTAGAGACAGAGTTTCACCATGTAAGCCAGGCTGGTCTGAAACTAAACTTTTTAATATAACTAAATGATTCCACTTAAAGATCTTTTATTCTGGCCAGGTGCAGTGGCTCATGCCTGTAATCCAAGCACTTTGGGAGGCTGAGGCTCGCACATCATGAGGTCAAGAGATCAAGACCATCCTGGCCATCATGGTGAAACCCAACTCTGCTAAAAATACAAAAATTAGCTGGGCTTGGTGGTGCGCACCTGTAGTCCCAGCTACTCAGGAGGCTGAGGCTGAAGAATCACTCGAACCAAGGAGATGGAGGCTGCAGATGGAGCTAAGATTGTGCCACCGCACTCCAGCCTGGTGACAGAGTAAGACTCCGTCTCAAAAAATTAAAAAATAAAATTTTTTAAGAAAGATTCTGTTCTTTCGAATTGTTTGAGTGAAAATATCCTTTTGTTAAATAAAATGATGGTGACAGGAGATGGTGGTGTGTTATTTGTTTTTACTGGCTGTACCTGGTAGAAATAAAAAACCAGGCCAGGCACATGGCTCACAAGGTCAAGAGATCAAGACCATCCTGGCCAACATGGTGAAACCATGTCTCTACTAAAAATACAAAAATTAGTTGGGCATGGTGGCACGTACCTGTAATCCCAACTACTGAGGAAGCTGATGCAGGAGAATCATTTGAACCCAGGAGGCAGAGCTTGCAGTGAGCTGAGATCACTGCACTCTAGCCTGGAGACAGAGCAAGACTGTCTCAGAAAAAAAATCAGCATTTCTATTGTAGCCTCCTAATTTTGGGGAAATATTTCTTTAGAAATCTAGAAGTCTGGCCCTTTACATCATTATGGCCCCAAAATAACAGGGGACTTTATACACAGATAACACATACCCCTCAAGACTCCCTCTTTAACTGCTACCTTATTCTGTTTGGATTAAGACATTTGGGGATGTGAAATGAGAATAAAATTGAGTATAAGCAATCCAAAACCACGTGCTGACCCTGGATCCTGGAAAAGAACTTTCTTTAGAATTTTTTTCATCTGTTAACATTTCGCTGGGCTCAAACATTTTTTCTGCTTTTTTTGAGATGGAGTTTCACTCTTGTCGCCCAGGCTGGAGTGCAGTGGTGTGATCTCGGCTTACCACAACCTCTGCCTCCCAGGTTCAAGTGATTCTCCTGCCTCAGCTTCCTGAGTAGCTAAGACTACAGGTATGTACTACCACATCCAGCTAATTTTGTATTTTTAGTAGAGACGGGGTTTCTCCATGTTGGTCAGGCTGGTCTTGAACTACCGACCTCAGATGATCCACCCACCTCGGCCTCCCAAAGTGCTGGGATTACACGCATGAGCCAGGTGGCTTCAAACTTTCTTATTTATTTATTTGAGACAGAATTTCGCTCTTGTTCTCCAGACTAGAGTGCAATGGTGTGATCTCGGCTCACTGCAACCTCTGTCTCCCGGGTTCGAGCAATTCTCCTGCCTCAGCCTCCTGAGTAGCTGGGATTACAGGCACACACCACCACACCCACCCACCTAATTTTGTATTTTTGGTAGAGACACAGTTTCTCCATGTTGGTTAAGCTGGTCTCGAACTCCTGACCTCAGGTGATCCGCCTGCCTTGGCCTCCGAAAGTGCCGGTATTACAGGCATGAGCCACCACACCTGGCCTGGGCTCAAACTTCCTTTTCCTAAGAGTCATTTCTTTCAGTAGTATGGCCACATGGCAATCACTACTCAAAAGAAACTAACTTGAGGTGTCCAGTAATCAGCTTTCATTTAAAATCTCTTTCAGCTTGACAAAATAAAAACTTTCAATGTTTTGTCTACCTATTTCCAAAAGAAAATTAGTCTATATATGTGATTATATATGTATATATACATATGTGATCAGCCTGTTTATAAACTATTTCCAAAATAAGTTGACCTGTAAATTCATTTATTAAATGAGTAGTTTATTAACTACTTGATTTTTGCAAGTAGTTTATAAACAGGCTGATCAAACTGAACAAATTTCTTAAAATAATTTCACTGTATAGTTAGCAAGTTATTTACTCCCTATTAGCATATCTTCTTTTTACCTATCCTTTAACAAGCATCTAAGTTCAACTATTTTATGTCCACAGCTACACACTGAAACAACACTTTCAGTCACAACATATTAAATTCACATTTAAACTATAAGGAGATCCAGTTACCTTTAGTCTTACATGTATTTATATATGCTTTTAATATACTACTTGATGTTTTATGATGCACAAACACACAGCTCTTGCAGGATATATAACTATGAGAATATTTAGAGTGTACGGTTATTAAATGGTTCAAAGGTCTGTTTTTTTAAAAAAAGTCCATTTTAAGAACTTAAGCATAAAGTACTCCTTCCATGCCCCAATGTTAAAAGGTCCATTTATTTTAGACTACTTGTTTCAAAAAAAAAAAATCTAAAATTGGTAGTAATTCTGCTTAAATTCCATATTAACCTAGGATCAAAAGTTATTTTTAGTTCTTGTTTCTTAAATACTTGAAATGTGCTGCCGCATAAAGTTTTCCTTACATATTTCTTCAATCAACTAACTTCAGGTGGAAGGCACTTATGAGTTTAAAAGTCCTTTCCCAATGTGGAAATAACATAAAAATGGTGCATGAAAGACACTCAATGTTTCTCAAAGGGTATCTGAGAGTCTAATCAGCCTATTACCTTGGTTCGGAATAACCACCAACAAATGTAAGCTTTTTGTCACATCTATGTATTTTTCCCTGTAAACTAATACCTGCATTTTAAATGCATTTTCAAAATGTTTCATTTGGCCATGTGATAATTATTTTCCCTGTAAAAAGCGACAGTATTTTGGTTTAAGAGCAAATGAGATAGAGTATCTGGTTCATGAGAAGGCTAAGTGGAAAGAACCGCACCCTGAAGTTTGTAACCAATAATAAGACAAACTCCAGTGCTACCTTGTTCACGTAATCAACAATATGTGAGTCGAAATAAACTAGTGAGCTATACATTTCTGTCTACATACCAATTGACCAATCAACAGGAGGGGAAGAAATTGCTCAAATGCGACTACCGTTAACAAACATCTAAATATTATAGTCTCTATTAAAATCGTAACCTATCAATTCTGAAATCATTCCTTCAACTTGTTTTAAATCCCGCCCCCCCGCAAAAAGGCAGCCACCTTTAAAATGTAAATTCCTCCCTTTTTCAAAGTAACTTGCCTAGGAAAATTTAATGCCTTAAAATAAAACGTTAACTAATTACAACATTAAAAAATAAATAATTAAAACGAGCGGTAACACGAACAATCGCTCAAGTTTAGCAAAGCATGTGTTTTTAATCTGTTGTGGGTATCCTATTACACTAATAAGCAACAACGTTTAAAAGTCATCCTAACGCCTAAAACACCACCATACACATAACATACTTGTCTTTTACTCCGATGAAGCTTAAAACTCAGACCCAAACTCAGACCATTTCCCCCTCCTGGCATACTGAAATATACGAGGGGAAATCCAAGAAATCAGATTTGGTAAGTGCCGGTATCTTCTTCCAGAGTAGGGTCAAACTCGTGTTTGCCCGCAAATGCCACCGTCCCATTAAGGCTGCAAATTCTCACTAGCGCAGGAGTACAAAGAAGGCTGACCATGGAAACTCCTGTCCTAGCGCCAGGAAGACAAAGGGAAACGCAACCCCCCCGAGTCCGCGCTGGCCCCAAAGCTTCGGCTGCAGCAATGGGTGGACAAGAGGTGGCCGCTGGCCTCGCAAGTGCGGCAGATACGGTCCCACACCCCCGGCCCGCCTCCCGAGAACCCGGAAACCTGTCAGCCTGGCCGGGACCCTCTTCAGACCCTCACGCTCCAGCCCAGCGCGGACCCCGTCCGTTCCCTCGCGGTCGGGTCCCACTGGCCCAGGCCCGAGCTTCCGCCGCGCGCTCGCCACCCCCAGCCTCCGCCCTCGCCCAGCGCGGCTGCTCCCGGTCCACTCCCCAACGGCTACCTGGAGGCAAGGGCGACGAAGCACTTCACCCAGCACCCGAGGTCGCAGAGGGCCCGGTGCTCAGGGTCCCGCTCCTTCTCCCGCTCCACGTGGTAGGCTAGACCGAGAGCAGAATCCCAGCGGTTCACAATGCTTACCCGGCCACCCGTTCCCTCCGCGGCTCAGGAGGAGAGGAGGATCCATCTTACCCCTCCGCGACCGAAGCCTCCTTCCGCCTCCAACTGAGCCGCCGTCGTCCGTCGGTCCGACCCAGCGCGCGCCCCATTGGCGTGGTCTTTTGCTCCGGGCCCCGCCCCCACGGGCGCGCGGTTGAGACTGGCAAAGCGGTGAAGGCGCGCGAGGGCACGGAGGGAGAAAGGCGCGCAACCGCGGAGAAGGCCGGATTGGCCAACAGAGAAGGAGGCGGTGCGTCGCGGAGCGCGAAGGGCGGGGCCCGGGGTGAGGGGCGGGGCCCGGGCGGGAGGGACTTAAGGGAGCCGTTGCCAGGATCACTTAGGAAGGATCTGACTGTGAGTGGCTGGGTGAGTCCTTGGCCCCTTCCTCTAGGATGGCAATCAGTTGCCATTCTTTTTCCCTTTTTCGTCATTATCACTTGATATTTCTGACACAATCCAAATCACCCCTGGCCAATGCTTGGGGCTCCTGAGCCACCCTCCTATGACCTGATCTTCTCACCACCACCTCCAGGCACTTTGTATTCAACCTGTGCAAAACTTCCTGGACTACAGTAAGGGTACTCCCAGTAGCCATTGTGCCATGAGTACAATGAACAAATGAGGAACCAGGTGATCGGATCCTAGTTCAGTTCCATAACACAAGAAGCAGATGCCAAGGTGGAATTTGATGTGCAAGAGATTGACAGGAAAAAAAAAAAGCCCGTGAAGAATAAAGGAAAAGGGGAGCAAGAATAAGCATGGATGGGCCGGGTAAGGGGGCTCACGTCTGTCATCTCAGCACTTTGGGAGGCCAAGGCAGGCAGATCACCTGAGGTCCAGACTTTAAGACCAGCCTGGACAACATGGTGAAACCCCATCTCTACTAAAAATACAAAAATTAGCCTGTCGTGGTGGTGGGCACCTGTAATCCCAGCTACTTGGGAGGCTGACTCAGGAGAATTGCTTGAACTCAGGAAGGGGAGTTTGCAGTGACCTGAGATCACGCCACTGCATTCCAGCCTGGGGGACAGAATGAGTGAGACTCCATCTCAATAATAATAAAAATTTTTAAAAATAAAAAAAATGTTTAAAGGCCTGGATGGACACAGTGGCTCATGCCTATAACCCCAGCACTTTGAGAAGCCAAGTCAGGAGGATCACCTGAGGCCCGGAGTTCAAGACCAGCCGGGGCAACATGGCAAGACCCTGTGTCAACAAAAAAAAAATAAAATTATTAGCTGGGCATAGTGGTATGCATCTGTAGTCCTAGCTACTGGTGAGGCCGAGGTGGGAGGATTGCTTGAGCCCAGGAGGTAGAGGCTACAATGAGCCATAATCTAGCCACTGCACTCCAAATCCTATCTAAAATAAAATAAGCAAAAAGAATATTCATGGAGAGCGTACTGACCACAATGCAGGTCTGACAACTGTTTGAGAGCTCTGCAGAGAGCCCAGAGCAGACTGTCCGCATAGGAGCAGTTTGTAAGGCAGGAATGGCCTGAATCTGGAATCCCTGGCATGCAGAGTCATTGGCTGGCACAGCCTGGGAAGAGCATGCCTCAGGATGAAGCCTATGGTGGGCCCAAGTGTGTAGCAGATGGAGTGTCTTGGCCAGACCTCTTAGACCTCCTGCAGTAGGCTCTCTCATTTTTTTTTTTAATAGGGTCTTACTCTGTCACCCAGGCTGGTGTGCAGTGGCACAATCTCAGCTCACTGCAACCTCCACCTCCCGGGTTCAATTCCCCTGCCTCAGTCTCCCTAGTAGCTGGAACTACAGGCATGCGCTACCACGCCCAACTAAGTTTTATATTTTAATAGATACAGCGTTTCATCATGTTGGCCAGGATGGTCTCGATCTCCTGACCCTGTGATCTGCCCACCTCAGCCTTCTAAAGTGGTGGGATTACAGGTGTGAGCCACTGCGCCCAGCCAGTATACTCTCTCACAGGTGCGCACCTGTAATCCCACCACTTTGGGAGGCTGAGGCGGGTGGATCACTTGAGGTCAGGAGTTTGAGACTGCCCTGGACAACACGGTGAAACCCCGTCTGTACTAAAAATACAAAATTATCAGGCATAGTGGTGGGCACCTGTAGTCTGAGCTGCTTGGGAGGCTGAGGCAGGAGAATTGCTTGAGGCCAGGAGGCAGAGGTTGCACGGAGTCGAGATGGCACCACTGCACTCCACCTGGGCGACAGAGGAAGACTCTGTCTTTAAGAAAATAAAATAAATAAAATAAAATGAGGAGATCTGAGTGTGTTCCCACCACCACCACCACCACACTACCAAACAGTTTTCCAGAGTGGGTGTACCGATGTAAACTCCCTTTAGAGCTACATGAGTCTGTTACACCACATCCTCCCAATCTTTCTCATTGTTAGTGCTTTCAGTTTTCAGATTTGGTGACTCTATAGAGGGCTCTCATAGTAGGTATTTTGTTTTTTGTTTGTTTGTTTGTTTTTCATTTTTTGTTTGTTTTTAGGACGGAGCCTCACTCAGTTGCCCAGGCTGGAGTGCAGTGGTGTGATCTCGGCTCACTGCAACCTCTGCCTCTCAGGTTCAGGCAATTCTCCTGCCTCAGCCTCCCAAGTAGCCACCACACTTGGCTAATTTTTTAGTAGAAGCGGGGTTTCACCATGTTGGCCGGGCTGGTCTCAGACGCCTGATCTCAAGTGATCCACCTGCCTCGGCCTCTCAAAGTGCTGGGATCATAGGCATCAGCCACCATGCCTGGCCCCAGTATATATATTTTGAATGAATGAATGAATGCACAGTCAAAAAATGTTAGCTGTATCTTTGTACAAACAATAGGCCCAAAGCAAACATATTTTCCCAAATCAAAAGGAAGTCCTCACCGCAGAGATTATTTCACCACTCCAGAAAAGAAAAAGATGAAAAGTTTTTAAAAAGTGTTTTGTAGGCTGGGCATGGTGGCTTATGCCTGTAATCCCAGCACTTTGGGGGGCCAAGACGGGCAGATCACCTGCGGTCAGGAGTTTGAGACCAGCCTGACCAACATGGCAAAACCCCGTCTCTATTAAAAATGCAAAATTAGCCGGGCGTGGTCGTGCACGCCTGTAATTCCAGCTACTCAAGGGGCTGAGGCAGGAAAATCACTGGAACCCAGGAGGCAGAGTTTTTGGTGAGCTGAGATTGCACCATTGCATGCTAGCCTGGGAGACAAGAGTGAAACTCTGTCTAAAGAAAAAAAAAAAAAAAAACAACAGAGTGTTTTGTGTGGAGCACAGGGGCTCATGCCTATAATCCCAATGCTTTGGGAGGCCAGTGTGGGATGATTGCTTGAGGCCAGGAGTCACAAACCAGCCTGGGCAGCATAGCAAGTCCCTATCTCTACAAAAAATAAAAATACAAAATTAGCCAGGCATGGTGGCACAGGCTGTAGCCCTAGCTGTTCAGGAAGCTGGGGAAGAAGGATTGCTTGAGCCCAGGGTTCTAGGCTACAGTGAGCTATGATTGAGCCACTGCACTCCAGCCTGGGCCACAGAGAAACAAACAAACAAAAAAGAATGACATCTTATTTTGTCCTCTGTTGGCTGAAGTCCTTCTGCCTTCCTGAGGATGTCGTCGTCCACGTGGACGAGCATGCAGTTTGCCTGACTCACCATCCCATGTCTTCCTCAGATCTCATGACCTTTGCTTCCACTCCTCTTAAGCTGCCACATGAATGGCTCTTGTGATCTTTTGGACAGCTAGATTTCTGAAACCTTAAACTCTAACATTCTTTCTACCTCACGCCTATAATCCCAGCACTTTGGGAGGCTGGGTGAGTGGATCACTTGAGCTCAGGTGTTTCAGACCAGCCTAAGCAACGTGGCCACACCCTGTCTCTACAAAAAATACAAAAATTTAGCCAGGCGTGGTGGTGCATGCCTGTAATCCCAGCTACTCAGAAAGCTGAGGCAGGAGAATCGCTTGAACCTGGGAGGTGGACATCTTGGCAAGCCAAGATCGTGCCATTATACTGCAGCCTGAGCAACAAGAGTGAAACTTCATCTTAAAAAAAAAAAAAAAAAAGAAAAAATTTAGCTAGGCATGGTGGTATGTACCTGTAGTGCCAGGTACTCAGCAGACTGAGGTGAGGATTGCTTGAGCTCAGGAAGTCAAGGCTACAGTGAGCCGTGATCACACCACTGCACTCTAGCCTCGGTGACAGAGTGAGACCCTGTCTCAAAAATAATAAAATAAAAGTTGATTTTTTTTTTCTTTTTGAGACAGTCTTGCTCTGTCACCCAGGCTGAAGTGCAGTGAAGTAATCCCAGCTTACTACAACTTCCACCTCCTGGGTTCCAGTGATTCTCCTGCCTTAGTCTCCTGAGTAGCTGGGATTACAGGTGTGCACCACCATGCTTGGCTAATTTTTGTATTTTTAGTGGAAACAGGGTTTCACCCTATGGGCCAGGCTGGTCTCAAACTCCTGACCTCAAGTGATCTGCCTGCCTTAGCCTCCCAAAGTTTTGGGATTAAAGGCATGAGCCACTGTGCTCGGCCAAAATTTGATTCTTTTCCCCCCCCGAGATGGAGTCTCACTCTGTCAGCCAGGCTGGAGTGCAGTGGCCTGACAGCGGCTCACTGTTAACCTCCGCCTCCCCGGTTCAAGTGATTCTCCTGCCTCAGCCTCTCAAGTAGCTGGGATTACAGGTGCATGTCACCACAGGCCGGCTAATTTTTGTATTTTTAGTAGAGACAAGGTTTTGCCATATTGTCAGGCTGGTCTCGAACTCCCAACCTCAGTCGATCCACCTGCCTTGGCCTCCCAAAGTGTTGGGATTACAGGCGTGAGCCACCGCACTCCATCAGTTGAATTTTTTAATAAATAAAACAGAAAAAAATGTTTGATGTATTTAGAGGGTATGGGTGCAGGTTTTCTTATTGTGGAGCACTGAGGTCTGGGCTTTGAGCATAGCCATGACTAAATAGTGAACACTGTACTCAGTAGGAGAATATTCACCCTTCGCCCTCCTCCCATCTTTTGGACTCTTCAGTGTACCTCCTCCTGTGTACCTATTTTTTAACTCCCATGTGTGAGAACAGTCAGTATGTGACTTTGTTTCTGAGTTATTTCACTGAGGATAATGGTCTCCAATTCTATCCACACTGCTGGAAAAGACATGATTTCGTGACATGATTTCATTCTTTTCGTGGCTGAGTCACGTTCCATGCTGTGTATGTACCACATTTTCTTTATCCAGTCAGCCACTGACAGACACTTAGGTTGATTCCATATCTTTGCTACTTTGAATGGTGCTGTGATAGACATATGAGTACAGGTACTTTTTGATATACTGATTTCTTTCCCTTCACCCAGTAGTGAGGTTGCTGGCTGAATGGCAGTTCTATTTTTAGTTCTGTGCCAAGTCTCTGTACTGTTTTCCGTAATGGTTGTACTAATTTACATTCCCACCAACAGTGGATAAGCATTTCCTTTT